CATTGATTGTTTATTTTTCTCTTCTTTGTCTCGCTCTAAGCAACTTTAAGCTGGAGAAATCTGTAATTTTGACCCTGTCGAAAGAAATAGTTAAGCTACAACTAGTAGGACACTTCCAGTGAAGGGGAGGGAATATCATCCTCTTTTGTGGCCGTTCTGTAGAACATGAAGAATATAATTATGTTATTAACTGTCAAAATTTTCATGTGTCAATCATATGGTCATTGCAGAAAATTGAATATTTTGTCTCTGCCTTCCTCTGTTTCTCCCTTATTGGGGGGAAGGTCAAAGCTTTCCAACTTTTCTTCCTTTGTGCTCATTTTCAGTCCTCGACACACATCAGTCTTTCCCTGTATTCTTGGGAGCACATGCATCAGAAATTATTGAGCTTGAAGAGCTTGTTGTTTCTTTATAGGCCCATTATTCTATTTTTATTTATAATATAATCAGTTTAGCCTTAGGAACTTTCTTAACTTTCATGTTTAGTTTGTGAAACCCAAAATGGTAACAAATTGGAGTCCTTTTTTTTTGTGTTGTTGATGGTGTCAGTAAGTACCATGATCTCGTAATTCAATGGGCTCAGAATTTAGTCATGTCGCCATCTCTTTGTGATGTGCCCTAATCATCAAACTCCTTCACTGTGTGGAATTAGATGAAACTATGCTTGGGTTCCTGAACTTTTTTACACTCAAACTTGAATTGACATATCTATCACTCTTCACTTGAAAAAAGAAGAAGTTCTCAGCAGCTCTATTTTGGTCTCTGTATTTTACTTTGCAATGGTTCAAATACTTCATCATAAGTGGTTTTAAATGTTTTGGCAGTGGGCAGGGTACCATCTCACTGGAGCTTTTGGAGCAAATCCCTGAAATTGACACCATAGTAGTACCAATAAGTGGTTTGAGCTTGTGTCTTGAAGCCTCATACCATCTTTAATCAATGATTTTGTTTTCCCCTAACTTATTCATCCTCATTGGACTTGGATATAGGTGGTGGTTTGATATCTGGTGTGACTTTGGCTGCAAAAGCCATCAATCCTTCTATTCGGATTTTGGCTGCTGAACCAAAGGGCGCTGATGATGCAGCTCAGTCCAAGGCAGCAGGGCAGATTATCAGATTACCTGAGACCAAAACCATAGCTGATGGCCTCTGTGCTTTTCTAGGAGATCTGACATGGTATTACTATTATGCACAAGAATTGTTTTATATGTTTAGTGAAAAAGCATGACTTTGATTTGTTTGCAGATCTGATAATATTTTTTGCCATAAAACCATTCCAAGATTACAATTATTTTCCTAATTAGATCCTTGACCAATAAATTGCAGTGGAATTGACTGTAAATGTTGAATACAACATGATTATTACTCTCTCTACATACATTTCCTCTGTATTTACGGTTAATATGTATCTGTTTGTAATTATTCTATTGCCCTTCCCTATCTATCAAATGACAAAAAGAAAGAAAGATCAATCACATCTATAATAGACAACAGTACATATACCAAAACCCGATAGTTTGCATTAATAAGTTCTCAACCTGCAATGCACTATCTTTGAGTATCTTTGAAGTTTGATGTTGCAAACTCAATATTGCTGTTAGTTTAATCATCCTATAAACAAATATTTAATTCTGCAGGTTATTGTGCTACAAATTGATACTTACAAGTTGACCATCAATAGGTAACTGGTGTCCTAGCACATATTATGGAAGATGCATAGACATTTTTTTGCTATTTCTGTGCAAAGTATAGTTAACAAGTGTAAGAAATGGCAAACAATCATGCATGTCATTCCTGAACTGTCTTTCTTAATTAATCACTCTGGTTGCAACAAGTTCTGACAATCCCTTTCAGCATAATGCCTAAGAAACAAAGCTATTTGTTCCTTTTTCATCCCCCCATGCAAATACAGCTTAGCATATATCTGTTTACTTACCATGAATTTGTGCTTGAAGCATATCAATGTCTGTGGTATCTCAAAAAGTGAATAGGTTTTATTTCTTGCCTGCCATATGGATTAGTGCCGAACCCTAGTTTCTTCCTAACAGGTTTCTTCAAATGTTAAAAGGCACAGTGACTTTTTTCAGGCCAGTGGTTAGGGATTTAGTGGATGATATCATCACTGTGGATGATGAAGCGATCATTGAAGCCATGAGAATGTGTTACGAGATTCTCAAAGTGGCTGTGGAACCCAGTGGGGCCATCGGGCTCGCTGCTGTTCTTTCGGATCAGTTTCAACAAAGTGCTGCTTGGAAGGATAGCATCAACATCGGTATCATTCTTTCCGGAGGAAACATTGATCTTGGTGTGCTTTGGAAGTCTTTTGGGAAATGAATGTTACTACTTGTGTTCATTGTGTTATCTGATTGGCAACATGTTTGATGAGCATACTAATGACTTCAAACGTATAAAAGCTCATGCTTGTTAACATTTTACGGCGTTGTTTCAATCTTTGAGAGCAACCAAATCTTTTAGTAGAAATATATGAATATGGCTTTTTGTGTGCATGTATGCGACTTTCACTAATGCTAGCCTGCGTGCCACTCCACCAATTTTTTGATCTCCAAGTTCCTTAGAATTTTAAAGGGGATATTAATATTAATATGGGTTTCATTGTCATTATCCTAACTGTCCAATGATGATGATTAACTACACTGATGCATCTATAAGTCTTTGTCCTTATTTGCTAAACTTAAATTTAGAAGACCCAATATGAAAACCACTAACATATATATGAATTTTTGCATATGTAGACAATAGATATCCTATCCTGATGAAAGATGTGATGACCCCTTTAGGTAATCCAATGCAAAAGACCAAACTAATTCTGTGTACCGTAGCTGACATTCAAAATTTTCTACTAGTGTAGATATTTTGGAGCTCACAAGAGTCAATAACTTGATCATGCAGTCAGAGACTCCAACTTGTTCATGTAGTTCATATGCTTATTGTGACATGACACTGTCAGTATTAATCATCAGAAATAAATGTATCGTGAAAGGTCAAAGCCTGTGTAGAAGATGCTTACTAAATCCGCATTTAGTGTGCATGTTTTGACTTGGTTAATAGAGATATACTTGTCTGAAACTGGGATGATATCTTCTCTTTGGTATTAACAGTAATCTTTTTCATGCATCATCAGCTAGATTACCAGAAGAACAAATCGCCTCGGTTTCATTAAAACTCAAACCTCTTCATTGAACAGCAATATGGTATATGAGCATTTAACAGATTATGTGCCCAAAAATAAGCAACTGCTGCTAAACATATTATTCATATAAAAGATGTAATACACATGAATTAAGTCAGCTACATGAAGTGTTCATGTAAGACAACAATGACAGCAGTTCAGATAATTGGTTTGATGTTGTGTTAAGAGCACTGGCTAACTCCTGTTGCAATTGAGAAGCATGCAGTTGAAGAGCAGCAACAGAAGCCACACAGCCATAGACAGGATCTCTGAGCCTTGCATTTGCTTCATAAACCATGCTGATGACAGCATCTTCCCCGAGTTCAGGTGGGATATCCTTCTCAAAACAGGCCAGTTCAAGAGAAAGATCAGATGACCAGTTTCCAGGTTGAAGAATAGTACTAGAAAAGGAAGACACAAGAGAGGAGCACCTGCAGCAATTTGCTGGCATTGCTCTCTCCAAAGATCCTGTGCACTGCAGCAAACTTCTCTGGCTCTGTTGATGGGAAGTAAGGGATAAAGATGCAGTCATCGGAGCAGCGCCTGCGTAGTTGCTTGCATGCTGCACATGGAGCTCTGGAACGAGATCTCGATGCTTCACCTCTGCCAACTTGTGATGAGGGGACTTGATCTACATATGAAGATGCTGCAGCTGGATACAAGAACCCTGAAACTGCTGGATTCAATGGATTACAATAATGAAGATCCAACTGGAGAAGCTTTTTGGGCTGTCATATCAAACTCATGGAGGAAGCTAATGAAAACCACAGTATGTTCCAACTGCCTGATTTCAACAGAGAAATATACAGTAATGATCTTTATCTTTTCTAAACATCTCTTATTCTTACTAATTATCATAGCTCTGATTTTTGTGATGACACAAACTACTATTCTGATAAAAAAAATAAATAAAGTTGATTTTTTTTTTTCTTTCCAGATGAGAAAGTGAATGTTGGACTGCTTAGATGCAAACATGTTACAGTTTGCTTAGGTGTTCTCATTCACTGGCTTACTGTGTTGATATCTCATTAGACACAAGACAACAAACCTGCAAGATTTAGTAATATTCTTTCACATATACAAGAACATAAGTTCAGCAAAGGATGCATGATGAGCTGCTACTGAGAAAAGCATGATGACTGCATGTAGATAAAACAAATCTGCATCATTTTAGTAAAAATTTAGCAGAAGGCATCTTCTATGAAAGTAATGACAGATAAAAGAAGATGATACTATTGGTTGAGATGGTCAACATCTGATGCTGGCTTCTTATATCAGAAATCACTGTCAAGTACAGAAAACTGAAAAAAGAACTATCATGGCATGTCACTTACAAGTGTATGCATTGCACTCCAATGTCAAATTTGGCATGGATTCAATAGTTAAAATATGATCTTGGAAAAGCCAAGACAATCATGTAGAACTTGCCAAATTAACTAGCAATGAGGTCTGTGATTGTTGCCTAATATTGCTTATTTAATCTAAATTAGCAGAGAACAAAAGCAGGCATATGACATGAAAAACCTCATGACCACATATTCATGGCTTTTACAAATGATGTGCATTAAACCACAATAGGCACACCATCAAGCAATAAATGCATGAAACTTCTGATATGAAATAACTGTTCTCCTTTTCTGTTTTCAATCTCTATTCAATCACTGTCACAGATCAACTGATAAAGGAAAAAAAGTCCTACAAGAAAATTTTGTATAAAAAGGTTATTTTCTCATTTAAACTTCAACTGTACAGTAAGATTGCCTCCAAACTATGATGCTACTGCGAGCTCTGCCCATGCCAAAGGATAGTCCTTGAGCATGGCATTAACCGTGACGTCGATACCGTCTTCCAACAGAGCAGCTATTATCTGCATTGATGGCCTCTTTGATGGTTCGGGTTCAAGGCAAAGACTTATCACATTGCATATTATCGCCAGGTCTTCAGGCTTGACCTTTTTGAGCTGAGGGTCTACTAGCTTGCCTCTTTCTTCTGGATTGTCTAAGTACTTCATAGCCTACAGAACAAGGGACAATACTGCATATTAGCTTCTTTATAGCTCATTACACAAACCAGATGAAGAAAGAAGACACAATAGTATTATGTAGACAATATGCCCTTAATTATCCAGAATTAACAGTGCTGAAAGACCTGGGAGGCTATCAAACACGACAAAATACTAGCTTAAGAATCAAGAGAGCATTAGACTAGAGTGGAGGGTATTTACAATCAAATAAAGAAATGTCAACATTTTTAGTGAACATGATTTTACAAATTCTATTTTTTAGATGCTGCTAACCAGATCCAAGCATCAAGTATTAGAAGCTAAAGAACATAACTAAAAGAAAGAATGACACTCGTGGACATAACTCCAACATGTCAGCTACTGTGTTAACACTGTTAGTCTATGTGGCAAGTTCCAGATCTCATATTGTCCACAAGTGTTAAAATCAGACCACAGAGATATGCACTAATATGTTACACATGAAGTTGGTAAGCAATTGATCATTTGACCATGGCAAAATCTAGTCTAATTTGAATGATAAAGTGTTGAAAATAAAGGTTTTGCACATTAACAAAGAGCCAACGTATAGATTAATTATTTTTGCAATATCTTTATCAAGCATTCATGGTTCTGACTTGGGCCACTTCCAATTGACGAAGTCCACAGGGAACTGTTGCACATGTCAAATTCAGAAATATGAACCGAGTGACCAAATATTGAATTTTCAAGCTGGTATGATGGTTCCTTTCATTTATATTCCTATTTTTTTATTCATTCCTTTCTATTGCATGCTTGTGTAATCATGGATGCAGTGAAGTGAACATAGCCTATGTGCAATCACAGTTGATAACTGACTATATTGCATTCAATGCTTTTTAAAGCGTCAAATGCACCAGATGCATTTGAACTTTTCAGTTAAATGCTTTTGCTATCAGATAAATAAGCATTCAGTTCAAATGAAAATTTTAGATGTTTTTTCAAGTGTTTTCTTTTCCTGCAAAAAAGGATCAAGCCATGTCAGTTCCATGAAAACAATTGATTCATGATTGTTGCATGAGACACCAGCATATTCTCCTTACCCAATCCAACAAGGAACCTCTTTCTTTGCAGTATGCTGGTCTTCCACTTATTAATTCTAGTAAAATTACCCCAAACGCATATATATTCCCCTGGACATCCAAAAACTGGCTTTTAAGAGAATCCACAGAGCCATTTAGTGAACCTCCACTCGTGACATATCCAGAATGCATTCTTGATTTCAAGAAAATGTTCTTCCATCTCTCAAAATCAACCAACTGCACGTGCAAAGAGAAAAGTTAGCTAGCTTAATAAATTCATCCAACAATAACCTATATGCCCATATGTGATGAGGGAAGTCAAACATGTTCGATGATTCTTAAACCATCTGACAAGTAGCAGAAATTTTTGTGGTCGAACCAGCTATCAGAGTACAGATGTACCACACTTGTAAAGATAGAATTAGTGATGGATTATCTGAGTCCCTATATTTACATAACAAGGACAATCTTTCAATTCAATTAAAAAATAAATTATCATGGTCAATCACAAAAATCTGAATCTAGTATCAAAATGCACAAATTGTTGCCACTACTATCCCTAAGCTTTGGCAACAGCTTGACATCAAATTTCTTGTATCTAACACTGTAAACAGAACACAACATTTCAACAACATGTGGTTGAGTCAGCTGTAAGCCAAGTCAAAGTAACAGGGATCATAAGAAATTGATTTTCAATGTAAATCAATTTTAAGAATCAAGTTCAAAAGCAGTACTGAGTAGATTACTAATTCAATATATTTGTCTTCTCACAACTAAGTTCCACCTCATCCACCAAACACTCTCAGACCAGCATGGGATGGTTTCATTAGAACACCATAATTATAATTACGACATATTGTGGTCAGCATGGTTGAATCACTTGAGTTATATGGTAAGAAAAACAACATGCACAAGTGAGAGAAGAAGGGAAAAGGAAAACAATACAATATGATGCCTGGATCTTCACTTAGTGGCTTCAGCAATTAGAGCAAAAAATAAGTTAGGTTTCGACCATCCTACGAAAGTTTGTGGAGAATAACTGCTTCAGAGTCAAACTCCAAAACTTGTTCAAGTTGATGCAAGGACTCTTTGTGTACACTCAGCAGCTTTTGTTATTGTAGAACTAATGAAGTTTCTAAATGCCTACCACAGTGAAGAGTATTAATACAATTCATGCACATGTTAAAGGTGGGTATAACCAAGGTTCCGAATATCGTACCATGTCGGTATACTGATCAGCTATCAGTACAGTACGTATCGAGCTGTACCGAGCAGACCGACACATAGTATACTAACATGTACAGCTTGTACCAGTCCTCTATCGAACCGATACATACTACCCATACCAAACGATACGGTACAGTATTGCAAACCATGAGTATAACGTTTACCAGTCTATCCAAAAATGTTCTCATTACACTGCTACACTGGTAAGAGTCAAATCCTACAAGTTTCAAAGACAGTGAATTTACTGAAAGATCCATTGCCCAAAAAGGTATACAGGAGTACTTGAGGGTATCAACTATCCACATAAACCCAATGAAACAGCCTCATAGCATGATAACTTATTTGTCAAGAGAGTGGATATGTAACTTAATTGATCAGTTAAAAAACATACATCTATTAATATATAAATAAAATTTATCTAATTCAGGCAACAACTAAAATGGCTACTTGATTCCAGCCCATTATATAGATGCATCATGTCAGAATCTCAGATTAAAATCTGACAAAAATCCGTATTTCAAAATTTAAGATATTTCACTTTTCTCTTTGAAAACTCATGTATTATTAACTAATAATTTTTTTAAAAATAAAAATAAAAAATGATAAATACCTTAGGAGAAAAATCTTCAGTGAGGTATACTGTACTGGAAGTTAATTCTGCTATTGTGAATGGAGGCTGAAGTTCGGTATGTAAATATCTTAGTCCACGAGCAATACCAATGGCAATTTTTGTGCGTCTGAGCCAAGATAACTGGCACCCATCACCATCTAAGGAGAAACAGAAGTATATAATTTAACATCCAAATCATGTTAAGGTAATGAATCTAGGAAATATAATTAAGTTTATCTTCTCAACTCACAATGAATATGCTCATACAGTGTTCCATTTGATGCATATTCAAAGACGAGCATTCTAGAAAATGGGTCACCTTCTTGGCAGTAACCAAGAAATTTCGCTGTGTTCTCATGAATTATTTTAGACTGAGTTGCAACCTGAAGAATACAATGGTAATTCAGAATAATTACTTTACATTCTGGAGTTCAAAGCTTTCCTTTGTTAGAATATACCTCAGTTTGAAAGTAAAGCTCATGAGAGCTAGTCCACTGGTCTCCTGAAATACAAAGTGATATTACAGCGATTTCAGGCCCATTCTTCATAGTGCCTTTGTAAACTAGATTATACAGAGAAGATCCAATTACGTTACTAAAATCCTCACAAGCTGCCTCAATTTCTTGGTAGCTTATTCTCAAAACATTTTTCAACAAGTCAGGATCTGCATAAACAAATATCATCCACCATCATGGTATATTCATTTTATCTCAATGCAAATAACAAAGTAGAACACAGATTCTAACCAATTGATAATGCTGTGTGGTCATTCCAACTTGGGATTTTTCTCCATGAGAGAAGATATGATTTTCTTTTGCATCTGTTACAGGCAGTGGCCATGCATGTAATCAGGAAAACAAGAACAAGAACTCCAGTAGCAATTTCCAGAATCAGAAGCCAAAACGGTTGTGAAGGTTTCTTGTGCTTAAGCCTCTCAGGGTAATTCCTTTTAGAATCTCCGTCTGAGTCCAGGATATTCACTGAGCTACCTAATATGTAAAACAGCAATTCATCAACTAAACGCATTTTGTCACAACATAGCTATTGACTGGTTAGAAACTTATCAAAATACTCGAGATGCAGAAATTTGCATGCTGACACACAAAGACACATAGTCTAGCATGTTAGGTGTAAAAAACCATTTAGGAAATGACTAAACGATGAGCAAATTCTAGTGCCAAAATTGACAGACACAGACACAGTCCATTTAGGTGTAAAAACCATTTAGGAAATGACAAAGACAAATTCTAGTGATCTGAGGCTCCAACTTATTAGGTCAGTATATTAATTCTAGTGCCAAATTCTATAAATGTTATGGTTTTAATTCAGGAAATTTAAGTATCCAAGACGAGTTAAAATTTTAAAGTCATGTCTACTTGAGATGCATTTCTTTTGGAAAAGAAGATAGGACATCACTATCATATGCATTTCAAGAGATTGAAATGGTAAAAGAGTACTGGGCAAGAACCTGTTACTGGCTGATCAGAGCCTCATGCACAGGCATTCTAAAACATAAAATGAGTTGTGCAAGAAAGATGTTGGCAATAAAATTATAAGAAATAAACAAAAGAACAATAAAGTTAAAAAAAAAAACATCTGGCATTGATCTAGGTAGATTTTGTATAAAATACTATATGTAGAGCGAGGATAAGAAAGGTAATGAGCATGCTGCATAACTTTGTTATAGAGCAAACATTAATAAGTTTCTCATCAAGATTTGCTTTTCAGTTTACTCTAAATCATGCTTTATCTTGTATGGAATTTTATGGAAGAATTTTTAGTAACTGTTTTGTCCCCAAAGTGGTTATGTTCACCTCCATGGAAACTTTTTTTCAGTCGAAGGGTCTAAAATTTAAAACCTACATTGTTGAGCAGATCGCTGAAAGACAGAGCCATCAACATCAAAGCAATTTCCTTGAAAATTTGATCTGCAGAAAGAATAGAAAAGAACAGATCAAGTTGACATAAATAATTTGAAGGAAATAACTGATAATCCATGACTGTGGACCTTGGAAGATAGTCCAGGCAAGAGGGAATTTTGCCGACCAAAAAGTTGTATGAGAAATCTCCAACTCCTAAGTGAGTTAATTGGCATAAACCTGAGCCCTTTTCCTGAGAAGCAAGCCTAAACAAAGAAGTTATCAAGTAGCCATCAAAATTTTTCCAAATATAAATGAATGAGACATCAGCTGGAATCCAATTAAAAAACTGAGCTTCACATTAATCCAAGGTTCAAAACCAAAAGAACTCTGAACTCTGAACAGTCAAAAAATGTTTGTTTAAATGAAAAATGTAGGTATCATGCCTCTAGGAAAATGAGACAAGCTACATTTTCTTATTATATCACATAGATTATATCTCATTTAATTAAGGTCATACTTTTAACATGTCAAGATTTTGGATATATAAGCAAACAATTATTTGAAATTTGGCATTGTACCAATGGCAGACACCGTGCCATTGTGGTTAGTACAGGCTAGTAATACAGAAAGTGAAATCTTGCTAACAGTAAAATTTTGGTTGTAGTCTGTTGTAATTCCAAACTAGTATAATGTATTTCTTTCATCTATAATTAAAGATTTATGTAGCCTTGACTATTCTGTGTTTAGACAGTCAATCAGTCTACCAATCGAAGCCACTTTGTCAGTTCCAAATACCGTCAATATCTTGTAGTCATGATGCCATCACTCCCTTCATTTGCATAACATTCCCCTCATCATAATGCAATTAGCAACTCATGTCCTCTGCTTAAACTTTCAATGCTGCAATTATCACAAAATTTCAAGCTTTCCTTTTCATTTATTTTGGGTGAAAATCTTTTAGAAGAAAGTTTAAGGTTCATTGTTACTTCATTACATATTCTTTTTGTTCAATTATGAGTATTAAGCTATTAAGGCTTATAAACATGTCATTCTCTAGAAAAAGTCTCACAACCAGCTTCATATTCATCCCTTTGTACTAATCCAGACCATCATCAATTTTCATTATGGGCTTACTGGGGCATCATAGTCTCCCCCACCCAAAGGCTTCATATCCACATTAATATGAAACACAATCCAAAATTATAACCTAGTAGGCAACATGTGAAGCTCATGGTGAAGTGGTAACTCTACAACATTATGTGCCTCTTGCACCGTCCAATAGTGACTCAAAACTCCATGTTGATATATGCTTCTTGTACCGTCCAAGAGTAGTTCTTACTTGGACAATTTCACTATACCTGTAGTACTAGGTTTTCTCTAATACCAATTCTCTCAAACCAACTTGATGGTCTCATCGACATAGCGATACAATATAATCGGCTTTTGACCACATGGACCAAAATTTTATTAGAAACAAACACATCCAGTCTTATATACCCATTTCATTTCAATATGGAAAAGATTAGATGGAGCCATCATTGGATTGTGGACTTCATATGCTGCATGTAAGGTATTTTGTACTGTTTTGGGTCTGAGAATGTCAGGACTTTTAAGTAAGAGAGATTGTGTATCCAGTATTCCCACACAGGTAGTTCTTGATGAGATGATTTTGTACGTAAGAGGTTTATTGCAAATAAACAGAAATTGAGAATTTTAGCTACAGGATTTTACGCCTATTATATACAAACTAATAGGTCACTAGTTTTATTTAGTCTAGGCCATGATATCATATCCTGAAAAATATAATATTTTATGAGAACTATGATTCAAATAAATACATCTTCTTTACATTCTTAATTATGTATTTAAATGGCAATATATAGAGCTTCATTCTTTAAATTAAAAGACCATGAAAATGGCAATGGGAGGAACACCTACACTTGAAACTGAGCTGCGGATCTCAAAATGCAACATTTCATAAAATATCTCAAAATATAGTACAAGAATTCATCACTTACATGTTTGAAACATTGCTCACAGGAATAACTCCACTGAGCTTGTTCCTATCTAACCGCAACTCAAATAGTTTAGTCAAATCTCCGAGCTCCGGGGGTATATAACCATTCAATCTATTAGAATGAAGATCTCTATACATGATACAACACCGGAATAAATTAGGGAAATAGGGAAATAGTATAAATGTAGTAGTCAGACTAAATTTTTGCAGAGAATTTACTTCATACATTTTTGTAATGCTGGTCAAATTTCCAATTTCTGGAGGAATGGGTCCTGAGAGTTCATTTACACTCAAATTCAACATAATAAGGTTTGTTAATGTGCTTAGTTGATATGGTATGGTTCCCATAAGCAAGTTGTTATCCAAAACTCTGCACAAGGGCGAGAAATCACAGGTAGCCATCAAAATTTTGCATAATTCCCGAATGTATTGTTTCCAGACAAAAGTAAGTAGCAAAAGGAAACACATACAATTCTTGCAACCATTGCAGCGAGCCAAGCTGCGGAGCTAGAAATCCTTTCAAAGACGAAGAGGAGAGGTTTCTGCAAATCCAGGTCAAAATTGACACTACAATAGGCAAGGTTTAAAGACACCGAATGATTGAAGACTTATCAAATGCATATACGCTTGCAAAAGTACAAGTTTCGCTGCTGAATTTGATTCTGACTTCCTGGTACTTCTTACATGGAAATAACAATATTCTGAGGAGGGCTTGAGCATTTGATGCCAGTCCAGTTGCAAGGATTTGGATCCTGGGGATTCCAGTCAGACAACCTCGAGAGGGGGTCTTCATATATGGCTTTCCTGAAAGCTTCGAGCGCAGTAACTGTAAAGGTTTCCAAGAACTCCATTAGCAAAGGAATTTCCAACCTCAAAAATTCTTCTCAAGATTGGATTTTGATGCCATATTTCCGAACCCCAATTGCAAATCTTCAAGTAAATCAAGACACACCAATACAAAAGCTCCGCCTAAAACCACAAAAGAAGGGTAAACAAAGGAGCGTACCCTCATCAGCAAACGACCCCGAAGGCAGGAAGAGAAACCCCGATGCGAAAGCAAGAAAAGGAAGCAGCTCTCGATACCCAACTAATCTCACCATATTTTGTTGCCGTCAACCTTAAAATCTCCGAAAGATCAACACCTGAACCTTGTCAGGAGAGAACAAAAAGAGATAATGAAGAGGGGACTAGCACCTCAGATGAAACCAGAGAGGAGAGGAACTCCGGTGCGAGAGGAGCGACACATGAGACGAGACATTTCTTCAAGAAAAGTAGATGGTGGAGGAGGTAAAAAGACAAGACCTGCGTGAGGGGGGAGTTGGTAGGGAAGCGAAAGTGCAAGATAAAGATATATGGGAGGAAGGGAGTGTGACTCTGGACTGTGGAATGTTTTGCTGGTCCCAAGAAAGATTAAACCTTGCTGGGGGAGAGCAAAGACCAGCCTCGGGACAAACACATTCAAGAAGTGCTCAGAAAGACCTGCCATGGAAGATCCATGTCTTGGCTTTCGTTGGCTCTGAGATTCTCTGGTGGATCCTGTTGAGTTACATTTCCTTCACATGTAGTATCATCCACTGATGTTGAAGCTCTTCTTTGATGGACACTGTATACTGATTAAGGTCATAACTTCTTGGATAGCAAGCATTCCATCATATGCAATAGCATGAGAAGAAGAATGACTGAGAAAACACGATGCCATGCTTATATCTAGGCTCTTGTGGACTCCTTAGATTCTGTGTAAGTATTTTGAGTCACTGCACACTGATCTCAAACATCTGTTCTGTCACCTAGTAAGTGTTGTCTGTGTCCTGAAGGAGATTGTAGATGAAACTTGATAGGTAGCGACTGTAGTGACCACTGTCTTCACCATATCAGCTTTACTGAAACCTCTTGCTCGAAGGCTGAAGCTTCTCATGGTTTGGAAGAACCATGAGCAGTCTCTTGCTTGTTTCCTTGCCAGACACATCAATGACCATCAGAGACAACTCAGGCCTCAGACTGTTAGCTTGATGGAACAACAAGAAGAAACCTGCTGTTGGAGTCATTATATGGTAATAAGTGCCTTCAATGCTCTGATTCAACTGATCATATCTTATGAATGAGTAAATACCCCAACCTTAAAAGCAAGAAAATTGCAAAGTCAAAGTCAAAAAGTCCAAACTGTGACGCTGTAAAAGAGAAAAAGCAGGAGAAGCTTTCTGAAAGTAACCAATGACCATTTCAGACAGTTCATAAACTAGTAAGACTGATACTTCAACCTGGTAGGCCAGTTTGACATCACAAGAGCATCAATCTTCATCATTAATAGTCTTGTTCAATGATATGAGAATCCATCACCTTTCACCATAAAAGCTGACATCTCATCCACCAAGGAGAAACCCAGCCAGTCTCCGGCAGAACTGCTGGATAATGATGAGAGAGAGTCCCACATGCCACTTCCTTCTCTCCAACCAGAGTGAATCGAGAAAGATGTACAAGGAAATATCCTTTCAGATGGAGCAAGATGAGATCTGAACCTCGTGAATGAGTCAGAATGTCTTCTTACCCTATGAATGACTGCAAAGACATGTCATTGGGCTCAGACTTCTGCAGGAACAGTTTGGTGCTAAGATTCGTATCCCTGTTACCCTTGATTCAGGTTTAAACATGCACTCCCTGTTGGATACTTCCAAGCATAACACTTAAAAGAGTGAAAAAGCCTGGACAGGATTCAATGAAAGGTCAGCAAACTTGGACCACCGAGTACCTCCTTACCTGTGTTCATCAATGTTGAAGCTAAGCCACTTGTTTCTTAGGTTAAACATCATAGCCACAGAGTCTGCCATGAGTTCCCATCCTTCTTCCTTGCGTTGTTTTGTGGAAACAGACATGGTAGATGGGTTGTTCCCTTCACCTGGTCAAATCAGGATGCTCTTTTGTCTAGCTAGATTAAAATATGCATTAGAAAACAAACTCCACATAACAATCCAAGGCTCAATGATCTCATTCTCCCACATCACCCCCTCATGTAGCTTTCAAGTGTATGCAAGACCTCAACCAGCATCAACCACCATTGTGGATTGGCCAGTGCTATGATGTTTACCAAAGATCTTTCAATTCACAGCATTCATATTCTACAGTAACAAAAAGACCCCAACAGCCAAAATTACACTATCGTTTTACTTGTCGATTCTTCATTTTGATGCTTTTGCTCTTTTGTTTGAGATAGTATTCAATACTAAGTTTGAGAGAGATTCACCCAAAAGTAAATTATATGTATCGGACATTAAAATGACCAGAGCACAAGTCTTATTCCTACGAGCGACCTTTGGCCGACTGTCTCTTAAATGAACGCCTTCTCTGTTCTTTCTTACTTCGTGTACCAAAAGATAAACTCGGTCCCAAGTTGTCTGTGCCACTCGCTGCAGTGCTTGAAGATTTAATGCTGCAGCTGTCAAGCTTTGGTTCATATATACCCCGTGAGTTTGGGCATTAATTGCTGCAACTGTCTTCACCTTTGCTTGATTTAGAACAGTGAAGATTTCTCTTTCATTGCCCTTCCAATAGGAACAAAAAGTCAAACAAATGTGCCAGCGTTTCACTCCATTCTTCCTGATCCAGCCTCACACGCCAAGAACAATTGACAGTGGATTACTTTTTTGATGTCAAACAATGCAGATAAGATAGATTATTACCTTCGACATCTCTTCAAACTTTATTTCCATTAAGGATCAAATAGCTGACATCATGACTAAGTCATTATCTGATAAGATTGGTTGGTACCTCTGATGGGAGAACCATCTCATAGGGGCATACTGGTCTAGAAAACTTTCTCTTCACAAATCAAGAAAAGGTATTAACTATATCTGATTGAGATCCTCTTTGATGTGAATACATCTTTTTGTAGTATGAACAGATCTATTTAGGTGTGAACATATTTTGTATATATTAGGAAACATATTATTTAGATTTTATACCTATTGTAGATAACCATATGATTATATATTTATAACCAATAAGAGATCGATAGAATTCCTAATTCCTCCCCTATAATTTGCCTTCCACAAAAATTGATTATGATAATATGTTATTTATATTGCATTTGCTTTTATTTTTCTCTTTTTTTGAATAATATATCATTATATATATATATATTATTTTTATTAATAGTCTGCGAGTGGATATATATCCTGCTTTGCTTTATAATATTAAATCCTCAAAGACAACATGATCTAATATCCAACCAAAAAGAAAAAAGAAGAGAAAAAACATGAACACAATTTTTTTAAGTTGTTGGATAACTTAATTAGTAAAGACTTTAATAGATTATCATCGTAAGTCCCATACTCGATTTATGTCTTTATCATTTACCTTTTATAAAAAAAATAAAAAAAATCAAAATTCTAGTGATTCCTCTTTGCAGCAAGTAATTATGCTCTTTAATTTTTCTAGTTCAATAGTAATGGAGGAAAACAATTTCTTGAGCTGACTCTCTTTGTCACAAGCTGTGCTAAGAGAATAGTGAAAGAAAAATCTAAGAGAAGTCATTTATCAAAATATAATGAGATGCTGATGAGACAATATATAAATTTGCTGATAAAAACTTGATAATTTATTATAAGATCCTTAGCTTGGATCCCATCTTATTTTTTGAACAAGATAAATAAATCAACTTCTCATTTCTCAAATCTTTTTTTTCCATAAGAATGAAAGCACCATAAGACTTCATCCCATCTACCAAGTATTATTGCGTGGGAGCTTTCAGAAGAAGCTTCAAGAAAAGGTGGATGATACTAAGCTGTGTTTGAAAAGCCCCAGCTGATTACTGATGAGAGAGAGGTAATACCTACTCTGAGTCTTGAATGAATCTCTTGGTCAATAACAAATGCAAACAATTGAAATTGACCATCTGTGGTTTTCTTTTTCTGTACCTTTTGGGACTTAGAGAAAGAGAATCTGGCAATGGCCCTTTGTTATCATTTTAATATGTGTGATCTGTTGCAGTGTTACCCCAAAGAAACTAACATTGTTATACTAAAGTTTCTAACTATGGGTATTATGGAGATTTAACTCGAGTTAGGATTTCAAATAGGTTTAACGTTAGAGTTTTGAGAAGGGTTGAGATTTCTACCCTATAAAGACCCTATGTCCCTCATCTCTTAGGCCGTCAAAGGGAGTGAGGGTTAAGGTTTAGAGGAGAGAGAATATTTTTAAGCTATATATACCCTTTGACTCCTCTCATGTCAAACCATCAAATAGAGTTAGAGCTAGGGTTTTGAGGAGAGAGAAATCTATCCCTTTGTGACATCACAAAAGAAGGTAAGAATCCTTTTGTCTTTCCTTGATTGTTTTTCATTTTCTGTGTGATCTTTTGTTAGCTAGCTAGTAAAGACTGACAATTCATCACTAAGGCCTAAACTCAAATCTTGCATTTACCACTTACCCTTTGTACCAAACAAAAAAATTCAATTTATGGATTCAACCTTCTAAAAGATCTTACTATATTCTTGGCACTCTATGTGGGTTTTATGTAAGAACAAGGAAACTCCTCTCCTCTTAATATTATAAGGTTTTGCAACTTAATTATCATGTATGATGAGTATGCTTTCATGGCCAGTGTGAAGAATATACTGACTTTAGTACCTTCAACCTCCATCTACTTTGTGGTACTATTGAATTTGTGCAGAGAGATCAATTGCAAGAAAAATAAATAACAATTTCATGACTATACCATTGAAGAACATAGCTTTATCACATTGTTTTTGAGTTCATAAATATTATTTTTTTTACAAAAGGTAAATAATGAGAATGAGATTTGATCCTTCCTATCAAATAGTCAAAGTCTTCATTTTAGTGAAATAGAAGTTCTACCAAATTACCTGTTTCAATGTGCAGGAATGCTTGCTTTTGGAAAAGAAGAGTTAATGGTTGGAACTTGTTGATATACAAACTGAAAAGAACACAAAAAGTAGGAAATTTAAGTAGATTCTTATTCTGTGTAGCATATGTTTGTATAAGCTACACAATATAATTTAGACTCTTCTGATATAGCTTTTGTTAAGATAGATATGAACCATATTACAATCAGATTAGGCTCAACGAAGTTAATGGACCAATTCGACACGAAGTGTCCTATGGTTCAATATAACAATGTCAGCCCAACTGACTGATTTAGTATATGTTGATTAGATGAGTAAATATTAATTGGAATCGTATATGATCCGACAAATCAATAAAGTTAAAAGGTTAATTATCCCATGATGACAAACATCAATTACATGTTACTGGAGGAGGATGATGACCAAGTTCCTGAGCTATAAAATCTCATCTCTTTGATCAGCTACAACTAGGCTGTAGCAACTCTTTCAGCGTAAAGAAAGCATTCTGCAAGCAAGTTGCACATCATCCTCTCCAGATGGTACAAGTATGTATCATTCAGGCATCAAAGTTCATCTTTTGGCATTCTGAGCTTTCTTTAATCTCATTCTTAGCTGTGTTTTCTAATGTTTAAACAGCAAAAGGTGGTGTTCACGGTTTCATCCCTGGTTGATGTGAAGTCAAAGCAAAGAGTCATGGAAGCTGTTGCTGATATCCATGGTACTACTCCCTTTCTAGCTGATGATGATGTACGGTTACGCTTCATTTTAGTGTTTAATGGTGAACAAAGAAGAATTGCTCGATTCTTCACTTAGAAAGAACACCTCATCATGGTAGCTACTGTTTCCTGACAAATACCCATCATGAATAAGATATTGGAATTTCTTTATTAGAGTTCATGCTATAAACATTCCTGCATATATTGAATGGTAATCATCTTTCTTACCAAAGTTTAGCTTCAGCGTTTTATGATTCTTACCAAAATTCAAGTGTATTTTAATTTATGATTCTTACCAAAATTCGATCTCGAATCTGCACAAAACTCATAAATGCAAAGCTATTGCTTGGAAAAGAGAGAACAACATTTGAAGAAAATCACTTCAAATGAAAGCTTGTTGTTCAGCTCTAACCTTAGCGCAGAATCAAGTAGTGAAAGATGGTATCTTTGTATTCATGTCAACTTTTCTGTTTGAAGGAACAGATGCAGTGATGCATTGATATGTGATTTTGGGTTCAGGAGTTGATACGATAGCTGCTGATTTTAAGGAACAGAAGTTAACCATCACAGGTGAGATGGACATAATAGCAATCGCGAAGAGGTTGAAGAAATTTGGAAAGTTTGAAGTAGCATCGGTAGAAACAGGTGAAGAAAAGAAAGAACAAAATGAAGGGAAGAAATAGTTCACTGCAATGTGGAAACCTTAGTTCTTTCACATGGCAAACCGAGAAGTTTCTGATATGGATGGAAGCCATCAAATGTTCTTGATCAAGGAGGTAAGGCTGGCCTCTAGATCTTGATGTTTTGGTTTGCTCGGATGAGAACATATGCAATCACCTTCGATTTCGATTTAGTAAGTAAAATTTAGCTTATTGCTTGGAGAAAAAAAAAAAAGTAAACTGAGAACTGATTTTTATTTTATTTTGATAGATAGAATCAGGAAAATTTCAGCTTCTTTTACTGATCCCAATGTGTGCATATTATGCTTTGGCTTCCAATAAGCAAGCAAAAGGTGTGAATCATGCAAACCGGTAAAGATCATGATAGTTGGGATCAAGCTAGGATCTTGAAATTTTATCCTACCAATAAACGATTTTAGGACCTCAACTTATTTTTGGTTATTTCAGGATCTTGAAGAAAATATTTATTTTAAGAGCTCAACCATTAATACTATGTTAAAAAATGATTAAATGGTCCGTCAGACGAATGCATCAAACAAAAGAAAATACTTTGCTCAGGTGAATTCATCATATAGAATAGATGCTAGTCGAATTCGACATCTGATATTTTTTTATCTTGGGTGGATGTATCGTAAACTAATTAATTTCGTGCCAATTTCATTTAAAATATGTGATTTCTTCACTCAGTGAGTGGCATGTATCCACCAATTTTGGCCTACCTCACAAAGTGATGAACAAAAAAGGTGAGAGCTGTACAAGTTCTAAATAACAAACAAGTAATAATCTATAATTAGAGGATTGTGGTGCCAGCACAAATCTGGTTGTCAAAAGAAGAATTAGAAAGCATCAGCAAAAGCAGTAGTTGGATGATACAGTATTCAGCCAATCATCATACATGCATAACTTTTATGGTGTAATCATGAACATACTTAGAGAACAATTCCAACAAATCCCTGTAGCTTTACTGCTCACTATCCCTTACTTTATCAAGTGTCAGATTCGTAAGATGAATAATCTCAATAACTTTCTCGCAATGTTTTGTAAAGTGACCTTTTAATGTATGCTTTTGCTTGTTATCGACTGCCATGATTAGTGAACATGGTTTAGGATTCTGCTTCTACATTATTGTGATGACCCAAAAGGCAGAAGGCAATCCTTATATCTCACAGGCAGAGTTGCTTGTTATCGAGGGCTAAGGCTAGCTTTGAGCGGTTTGACAAACATATTAGATAGTTCATCAAGGAATTTTGACCAACCAGCAAAGGTTGGAGAACAAAGAACATAATGCGATCAACCACCAACGGGTAGATACAGTGGATGGCCAACTTGAAGCTAATTCAGCAAAGCAATGGCATGAGAAGCTGGTCCCAGCTGGAAGACAACGTGGTACAACTCACACCTCCCGCTGAGCTCCAAGATAAGTCCAACAGGACTGGAGACAGCAAAGCTTGCAGACATCACAGGGAAGATTGCTAGGTTATCAACACAACAGGGAAGGTTGAGCTACCGACAGGAGTTGCTTGCAAGCACGGCGCTTCAAATCTAACACAAAGATAACCTGGGAGGGGGCCCAAATCAAGATATGAACTCGAAGAAGAAATGTCTCTTCATGAAAAAAAATTGATGTGAGATCAGCTGATGGTGGTTGTGATATTTAGATCGTTTCATCTGTCCTTTTGTTTCAGACTCAAAAATTACCGGCGCACGAGAAATTGTCTATTGCTCTTTGTTGGTTTGTCGACAAGAAATCATCTTTGGAGTGTATGATCAAGTTGCAATATTCATACAAGTTGGAATAAGTTCCTTCTTCTTTGCTGCTTTATCTGTTTGTGGCCTACTCAAAAGGTTAATTCATTCAAGCAAGCACAGAGGAGAAGGGAAGTCATGGCATGTGTGATTCGATGTGCTATGGGAATTGCAGTCCACCATATCCTGCCAGTAAGATCCTGGAGAAGGGCGTTGGTTGTGCAGGTAATGAATGAGATAGAGACATGAACTCATGAATCTGAACGATTGGATTCCTTGAACCGAATCATGCTCCGCATGATGCAGTGGATCTGCTTCCATGTAATGGTCCACGCTTTATCGCGGCGCGTAAAAGCTATCGCTGCAGTGGGGGGAGGGGACGACAGCGAAGCTTGTGTCATGTGGTCCAGATGACTTGCATTTGTGTGATGGCAGCCACATAATGGAATCCCAGCTCCGGTTGAAGGGCCCGAAGGAATCCTGAGGGAACTCCTACGTGAATTCTCATTCCAATATATAAATCTGTGCTCGGTAGTAGCTCGTCCTTTGTTTCGTGTGTCTTGGTGGAATCTGAGGCACAGCTTGCTGAGCTCTCTTGGGCAGTACTTTCGGGTGTGTGTGATTTAGTTGGTGGGAGATGGCAGAGGAGAAGCCGGCGGCCAGGGTGGAAGTGGAAGCGGAGGGAGCCTCGGTGGTGAAGGACGTGGAGGAGGAGAAGACGGCCATCGTGCCGGCCTCGGAGGAGAAGCCCGATGACTCCAAGGCTCTCGCCATCGTAGAACGTGAGATATTATGGTCTTGTGCATTTTGTTTCCTCTTCTACTGGTCTTCTCTTCCTCATATTATGGTTAGTTCTTTGTGTTCAATTGAACCTTAATGTTTCTTGTGATATGCAATTAAATTACAAGCAGAGTGTCTTCCTCTTGTTGATATTGATCTTTTCTTTTGCTAGTATGGAATCCCTTTCAGGTAGCTCAAATGTAAATTCATGGCTCCTGGCTTCTGGTTTTATTAGACCATTAATTAGGCTCATATTTATAGATACATGTTAATGAATTCTTGCCTGTATTCATGTCTGAAACTATGATGCCAACTTCATTAGTCTCAATTACTTTTGATATGGAATACAAAATGATTTAAATATATAGGAAGGCAAATAGTTAAGTTCACAAACTTGAGTAATACTTTTAAGCTTTGCCTTATTGCTCTCAAGTCCATTAAGGGTTCAGCTAATATTTCACATGGTATTCATGATTTATATTTTATGAAGTGCATCATGGTATATGAATTTAATGCTTGAGAGATATGACTTTGGCCTTCTCTTTTTCACAGAGGTTGTGGAACCTTCTGCAAATGACAGAGGTAGGTGTTCTCACAATACAGTGTCTGAATCTTTAGTTCTTTCTTCTATGAATTGAATCATCAAAGCTAAAAAAGAGAGAAATTTTTGGTATTGCTCTTCCAGATACTGCTCTTGCAAGGGTTGCAACAGAGAAGAGATTGTCACTGATCAAGGCATGGGAGGAAAATGAAAAGGTTAAGGCAGAAAACAAGTAAGCAAGCTTATGGCTCATATTCCTCATCTTTTCCTTGTGGCTATTTAAAATAGTGCCCCATCAAGGCATTGAATTTAATTAAACAGTGGTAACATCAAAAATACATTTCACTCACTGAATAATATAATCAGAAGCCTATGCATCTGCAATGTCAAACAGGGCTCTCAAGAAGATGTCATCCATTAGTGCATGGGAGAACTCAAAGAAGGCTGAGGTGGAAGCTGAGCTGAAAAAGAAAGAGGTGAGCAACTTCTCCCATCACTCCACCCAGTTGTAAATTATCTTATGAGCCATTGAAATCATTTTTATAACATCACAAACCAAAATTTTGAGTTGCTTTAACTGCAAGGTGGGTTATAGTGGATTGACATGGGTGTTCATGATACCAATGCTTGTAATTTGATTAAGATTTTGTGTTAAATGCAATAATCCATTTGCTGAAATAAAAAGGCAACAATGGAAAGTTCAAGCAATCTATTCTTATCATTTACCTCCAGTATAAGGTTTGAACTCATTGTTTAGGGATTGACCCACCATTTTAGGATTTTTCTTTTGAGAAAATCATTCTTTCTCAGTTGGAATGTGAAGAATTAGAAAGTTTAAAATATTGTGCATCCTACCTTAGCATAATATCATGGACTCAACAATAACTATTTTAGGCCAAATTGCAGCATCTTCTCCACTCTTAACATGGTTGATTTAGCATTTTGGTGGGCCAAAATATTTTCTGAAGTTATGACCAGCATGTTCATCAAATTAAGGCATCTCTTGAAGAGATCAAAAGTAAAAAGAAGAAGACGAAGAAGAACAATATACAATGAATGTGTTTATTGGCATGATTTGGAAGAACTTATGCAAATTCAAAACCAACAATATGCAGGAAGAACTGGAAAAGAAGAAAGCAGAGCATGCGGAGAAAGTAAAAAACAAGATTGCCTTGATTCACAAGGAAGCAGAAGAGAAGAGAGCAATTGCTGAGGCTAAGCATGGCGAAGAGGCCCTCAAGGCTGAGGAGAAGGCTGCAAAATATCGTGCCACCGGGCTCACTCCAAAGAGGATTTTTGGGTTCTTTTAAGGCCTGAAAGTTGACTACAAGAGAACAGATTGAAGAGACTATTCACCTCCAATCTGTTCTTGTGATTCTTGAGTTTTCTGAGTGTGTAGTGTCAGTCCTTCAGATGCAGCTTTCTCTGACAGGTTGTGTTGATTGTTCACAGAGAGAGAGAGAGTGTGTGATTTGGTTGAGAATCAATGTGTTTGATCTGTTAACTGTGATGTTCATGTGTATGATTTAATTTACATGTGCACAGCTTTGTTCTTACTTTTCAATGTAAAGAATCATATGTGTATTTAATCCAAAATTTAATTAAATGCCATGTTCATGTCCTTCTCAGTAAGACAACTTACACAATATGATTGTTTTCTGTAATCTCTACTAAATCTGTCAATGGCATTGCCATCTTACAGTGATTGTATGAGGAAGAAGCAGTTGCAAGTTGCCTTCATCTACAGTTTTGGCTTTAATTGTTAGTAGTTGCTGAGTTGCATCATGGGACAACAACAACAGGCCAAAGGACATCATTTATGCTACTTAATATGCATCTTCAGTAAAATTATTTCTATAAATGCACATAGAAATATTTTTTATTGATCTGATTAGTGAAGTACATCTAACTATATGCAGAATATGAATATAAATATATAAAGAAAGAATCCTTTTTGCATAGTACTGCAGAAAGACATTGCAATCTGCATATCAACTAAAACTCTTCATGTTTGCATAAAAATCCCACAAATCATATACCATGGAGCACAGAAATCTTTGATTCATCCACCAATGGCCAAAAAAAAGCACTTAAAAATTATTTATTTCTCAGTGCAGTGATCAGTAGCAATTTTTTTGATGATCTGTCACTTTTTTCATCCTTGAAACCTTATTTTCAGAAAGTTAAAAAGAACTATGTTTCTATTCAACCTCCTGACACATTTTGCATCACATTCCTCCTCAAAATCCAAAAAGAAAATGATACATTGACATAGATTACAAAGGTTCAAAACTTTTGGCACCCAGGGAACCATGATTCTGATTGGACCAGATCAGAACCTAAGAACAAGAATTAGCTGTGGCTTTTAAATTAGCAATTTTTTTCATCTGAGACAAAGTTTTATGATCATCATAAGAAAAGTATGTTCAATTTAGAACAACCTTACTCAAGAATCAGAATGTGTTTGGCTACAGCTTGGCCTTCTTCCATTGAGAGTGCAAAGGACCAAGTTCTTTTCCAACATAAATAAAGCAGCATCTTCAAAAAAAAAATCTTCTCATTCAAAGTTCATGAATTATGAGACACCCAAATTAGGCAATCCATGAAGAGTTCTATGTTTCCTGATATTAATATATACAGATTGGATTGCAAACACCATTCCCTCTGGCACATCCTTGACTGGGTCTTCAAGACATGCATGCCTCCTGTTTTGCCTCCTATCTTTCCTCCCCTTCCCCATCTTTCTTCACCAAAACAGCACCTAATTCTCATGCTTTAAAGCCTTAATTTCTCAAATCTCTTCTCCCTCCCCCTCCTTTCACCTTTGATTTTCTCCCCTTCATTGCAAACAGGGGGGAGGGGAGAGATGCATCACAAGAACTCCTGCATCAACTCCATTCCTAGTTGTTCTTAGCAAAAGCACATATCAGCAGAGTTAGCAGTTGCTCCTGGGCTGAGCCAGATACTTTGAATTGCTTGGATCATCACCATGTCTTTCACTGGCACCCAGGACAAGTGCAATGCATGCAACGAGACGGTCCATTTCATCGATCTCTTGACAGCTGATGGAGTCCCTTATCACAAGACTTGCTTCAAGTGCAGCCACTGCAAAGGAACTCTTTCTGTAAGTTTGAATTCTCAAGCAGCATGAAGCAATGTGGAGCCAAGTGAATTGCTCTAATTTCACCAATTCCTTTGGATTTTTGTGCAGGTGCATCTCTCACATCCACCGTGAACAAAAGATGCTTGTTGGTCTGCAATCATGTAGTTCCCTGATTGCTAGCATAAAGAACTATTCATGTCATTAATTCAAGAAACATATATTGCATCACTAAATGGGTATAGTATAGTATTCTCAGAGTGCCACATTCTTTTCTTCATAATGGCATTTTGTTATAGGTTTGTAGCCGATTGTTACACTTGAAGAACATGCAACATGCTTTTTATATTCCTTATGTAGCCCTCACAACAAGAAGAAAAGACACTTTGTTTCTCTCAAGACAAGAAATCATCTATGTTAGAGGTTTGCTAGGCACAGGTGAAAATGCTAATATTCTCTTCCTACATATTTCTTACAGATGTGCAGCTACTCTTTCATGGATGGCATCCTCTACTGCAAGCCTCATTTTGAGCAGCTGTTCAAGGAGACAGGCAGCTTCACCAAAAAAGTTCCCAGCAGGTAATAGTCAGAGTCTTATCCCATAAACTTTCACTTGATTCTTCTCTTTTTCTTATTTTATGAATGAAAATGGAATGCAAGTCCCATTAGAATTCATTCCAAAAGTTCTGAAACGATATAGAATGTATCTGTGATACATGAAGATGGAAACACTAGTCATCTTCCACATTTCTCCATCGAGTTAACAGAGCTAAAAGCCAACAATTCAGATAAAGATTAACTCTTTAGAATTAACTATTTCCATATGGCCTAATGATGCTTTTGTGATCCAAGGTGCAAAGTCTGGTGAGAGGAATGAATTGTTATGTATGCCGAGCATCTACTACCTTCAGCTAAATGGGAAAGTTCGATCCTTGGACTAAGACATAGCTGATAACTAATGGCCATGTCTTTGCAGTCTAGGACTCCAAACAAGGTCTCCTCCATGTTCTCTGAAACCCAGGACAACTGTGCCAGCTGCAGGAAAACAGCGTACCCCTTGGAGAAGGTTTGAACGGTACACACAGTGCAATGATGAGCTTCAAAGGTTGGCAAACTTGATGAATTCGTCAAACCCTCCCCCCTTTCGATCTTTGTTTCTGGTAGCTGACCGTGGAAGGTGAGTCGTACCACAAGACCTGCTTCGGGTGCTCCCATGACGGTTGCACTCTCACGCCCTCCTCCTACGCCGCCCTCGACAGCATCCTCTACTGCAAGCACCACTTCGCGCAGCTGTTCAAGGAGAAGGGGAGCTACAACCACCTAGGCCGGGTGGCTTCTTTGAAGCGGAGCTCTGAACCTGTGAGCAATAATAAGCGACTGCACCCACTGTAATGTATGATGGCTTCGGTCAAAACCAGAATCGTCGAGCTGAAATGTGCTTTTCAGTAGAACGGGCAGTAATCGATCGAAAAGCGTCATCTTGGACACGAATGATATGAATTGGGCTCCGGCTTGGGTCAAGAACTATCAATCCGACCAATACCGGTTGGACTTGGGCACGAGGAACGGGTTAACCCAAGCAGAAGAACAGGAGTTAGCCCATCCCACAGCATAAAAGAGTATAAGCTTTGTGTGACGGATGCATGCGACTGCTGCACCTCTTAAATCCAATACCACATTGTTGTCGCTTGTTTAGAATCATTAATCAATCTTCTAATATTTCAAATAAATCATAATAAGAATCTTTCTAAAATACTCTTCCCGAAGTCATTGTTGCCCAGGCCGGCTTGGATCCCTCTCTTGACGTACTTAAATTCCTAAATCAAGATTTAATTAAATATTTTTGTTTTCTTTTTTTTGGTATATATAAAAGTAGGGAAATTATTTAAAAATAATATTAATAATAATAAATAATTTGATACAATTATTATAGGAAAAAAAACTAATTAACAAACAGAGCGTGTAGAAGGAGAATGATAGAGGAGGGTGAGATATTATGTACAACAAGATAGGTAAGGTATATATGAAAAGTTCAAAACTTTATTTTAAATGATAGGTTAATTATAAATTATCTAGTTATGTTTAGTATTACAGTCTCTACACTTTAAAAAGTCACATTAGCATCTCTATATTTATGAAAATAAAACATTTAATATCATTTCTCCTCACGTCGACTTTACTAATTTCGATCCCCACTATTCAAAGAGATTAATTTCATAAAAGGATAATTTTTATGAGAGCTTTGTCATCCTCATCTCTTACACCATCATATTTATGTTGTTTCACTATTCTCCCAAATAGCTTATCAAACTACGATGTCAGTGGTGATCCTCATCTCCTACACTGTTCCATTTCTTCTGCTTTACTATCATCTTCTCTGACTTTATTATTCTCCTAAATGGCCTACCCAACAATAGTGTTAGTGGTTATCCCCATCTCCTGCACTGTCTCATTTCTCCTACTTTACCATTATTGTCTCGAGTTTCGCTATCATCCTCCTGAACACCCTACCCAACAATTGCTTTGCTATCCTCTCGGACAACCTATCTAACGATAGTGCCGATAGCTCTTTGTGAAATTAATCTCTTTAAACAACAAGGATGAAAATTATTTTTTTTAATCCCTTTTTAATGCTATTTTCTGTATGTGATAACATGTGCGGTATTTTCCATCGATAGAGTCGATGATAGGAGGAGAAATAAAATTGAATTTTTTACCTTCGTGAGTATAGGGATGCTAATATAACTTTTTAAAATATAAAGACTGGAATGCTAAATATAACTAACTACAAGGGATAATATATAATTAAATCATCATTTGAAATAAGGTTTTGAATCTTCCATATATACTTTATATATCTTGTTGTATACATTATCTTATAGAGCCCCTCTATCATTTTTGTTCCTAGTTGAAGGAGTTGCATGTTCTGTTTGTTCATTAGTGTATTAGATCTTTTATTATTATTAATACTATTTTTGAATATTTTTTATTCTTTATATATAGGGCTAATTATATATTATTCATATAATTAATCATCCTTAGTATCTCAATCTCCATATTTTCAAAAATTACATTGAGATCTTTATACTTACAAAAGTGAAATATTTAACCTCGTTACTCCAACAAAACTCTTCTTTCTTTCATAATTTTTACTAATCCCCATATTAAATATCAGAATATTAAATATAAATAATTACAGGAGTAATTTATAATTAACCTTATATACATAAAAAAATATTTAATTAAATCTTGATTTAAGTATTTAAGTAGGTCTAAGAGAAGGATCCATAACAAGTCTTAGCTACAGTGACATATAGAAGAGTATTTTAGAAAGATTATTTTTATGATTTGTTTGAAATTTTAGAAGATTCATTAATGATTCTAAACAAGTGACAAACAGAACATGCAGGAACAAGAATGACAGAGGGTGTCGGTAAAATATTGTATATAACAAGATCTGTAAGATATATATGGAAGGTTCAAAACCTTGTTGGAAATGGTCCACACATGAGTCTGTGCTGGGTCGTGACAACCTCGTAACCTCAGTGATGCTGAGATTAGAGTCACGGTTCTTCACCATCTGCATCACCACCATCTCCGAGGGGATAGCAAGTCCCCAGTCCACCGGTGCTCCACAGGAACAGTGCATAGCTTCCCCCATGGTGTTGGCTCTCAGGGTCCGCCTGCAATGCCTCCAGGAACATCTCCTCCGAGGCCTCGAGGTCGCCCCGCCCGCGCCACAGGAAGAAAGCGTATCTGCTCATCGCCTCCGCGTCCGCGGGCTCCTGCATCACCGCCCATCTGAAGAAGTACTCCGCCCTGTCACCAAGTACATCAATGGTCAACGATGAGTCCATCTCTCCGAGATGTTGCGTCGGGTTTCACCTGTCGAGATCCTTCTCGTACTGGTACAGGAGCTGCGCGTAGTTGGACAGGATCAAAGAGGTCGTCAGCCCGGATGAGATCATGTTCTCGTAAGCCGCGCGCCGCCGCTTGAAGTCGGGACGTCCACCGTCATAACTTCTAGCTTCTTCGTCTTCGTCGAGGATTCCGACGTCGAACCAGCACCTGGAAGCCGCAGCCTCCGCCGTATCGAATACGATGGCATCTGGAATCTCCCTCTTGCTGGAAGCGGCCAAGAACTCGGACAGGAGAACGAGAAGCCTGACGACGAGATCAGGCGAGGTGCAGAAGACGTTCTGGAAGAGCCAGACGAGGGACTCGGCGGCGTCCTTCGGAGCGCCAGCGCGGGTTTCGCCATCGTAATCGCTGGAGAGAACCGACCTCTGGATCTCCTCCATGGCGTAAGCCAGCGACCACACGGCGCTCCCGATGTCGCCCAGGTCGGTATCGGGAGGCGCCCGCGGGCGGCGGGAGTTCATCCTCTTCTTCTTCAGCTGCACGAGGCGGAGGGAGAAGGGGATGCCGACAGCGGAACCCTTGATTCGGAAGCCGACGAGCGGCGCATCGCCGGAGGAAGGATGCTTGGGCGCCGCGCCGGGAGGGTGGAGGAGCCATGGGGGTTCAGGGTCGCCAATACGTGGACTCTCCCTGGGCCGTCCGCTGCATGAGCCGCAGACACGTAAGCCGGGGGCTCTTCGTGGAGCAGCAGCCGGACGCTTGAGGGAGAAGTAGGGAACTCCAGGAAAGGAGTTGGGGAGACGAAAGGTCGAGGTGAGGGAGGAGAAGGTGGGCTTCATCTCATGTCGCAAGGGGGATGCGGGGAAGGGGGAGAGAGAGCAGGGGAAGTGGAAGGATTATAGAGGGAAGTATGAGGAGAGGAGGAAGAATAGGAGGAATGCGGAGCCAGGAATGCGGATCGATGACCTGAAACCTCGGTCAAGAACGCTTCATACGATGCCAGCTCACATTTCTTTTTCTTTTTCTCGAGCCCTTTCTCAAGTTTTTTTTTTCTTTTAAGAAAATTTGTCATTTTTTTCTTAATAAAATTAATATATAATATAATATCTATAACCTCTCTAAATTGTTGGGTCATATTCCTGAATATTCGACTCGTTTTTGTTCGACTACGACAGTTCGAAATGGCTTATAACTCTTCGAATTATGAGCCCATCTTTGGCTTTGACATCCCCTCTCCCGTTCGATTGCAATTATCATTTGTATAGCCAATATTTACCCCATTTAATTTGAATTTAGATTAACTTTTAGTTCTCAAAATATCAAAATTTGGAGTCCCCTTATTATCAATAATGCTCAACATCTGAACAATTCAAGTCTACCAAAACGGCATGGTGGCTTTGGACGGTGGATGAAGGAGGAGCACGATGATCCTACGGCTGGTGACCGATCGAATGACGCAGACCACTCTTTGGTGACAGGAAGAACAATAACGTTCCCGATTCTTCGACGCCAAGAACATCTGCCCGCGCCTTCTACGCCCCTCTCCTCTCTTCTCGTCCGTCCACGTCACTCACGAACAAACCCCCTACGTTGCCATATGGTCTCTCCAAATCTCACTGGCCGGAGAACATGGCAGATCGTTATTGGTCCACGTTATACAACGTGACACGGTGTCAAAGGTCATTTGCTTGCGTGCGCTGTTCTCGGCGACAACCGACCTTCCTACTATTAATAAACCCTTGAGCTCGGACACTCTTCCCGCGAGACGCCAACGGGAAGCCTTCGGGAGCTCGAGAAAAAGGAAAGAAAGAATTGTGTGAGAGTGCGCGTGGAGTGAGTGAGAAAGAGAGGAGTTATGGATCGGTCACTCGGGAATCGGGGATCTCTGGTGTTGTTTGGCCTTCTTCTCACCTGTTTGCTTCCATCCATCGCCAAGCAATTATTGTTGTTGTCTTGAGTTATTTGTTCGTTGATTACTTATTGAAGTTTCTTGGAATGTATGTGGTGGATTTGAGAATGATTCGGGCTTCAATTTTTTCCCCATCTTTTCTGAAAGCTGGTCTTTTTATAGTGCTTAAGAGATGAAACATTTGCGTTTCTGGATACGATTAAGCTTGGAAATTTGTGGCTGCAGCTTTCTTGCCCTTGTAGCTTAGTTTACTTGTAGTGGATTCTGTTCCAAGATTTATTACTGGAAGCAAGAGAATATCTAGGAAGATGATGATGGCTTCCAAACATTTATGTTAGGTTTCTTTTGTTGTTGAGTGAAATTTATGTTAGATTTCTCTCTAGAAGAATTTCTCTCCAGTATTCTTCTAATTCTACCGAATTCTTCAGACACTTTCCTTTATGAATTGATCTTTACCTTTGCTCAGCTCTGCAACTCCATGGCCTTCCATCTATCAATGAAATCTAAAAGCGAATCATTGAGTTCATGCCATTGTGTTTGATAAATGTTCTGACAATTAAGATGTTTCTGATTTTGCCATCATAATTGTGATCTTTTGTTCCTGACGTTGTCTCTTTTGGCAAGTATAATTTCTTGATTAAGGGTATGTACTGTTAAATTTTCATATGTAAATGGTGACTATTTTAATTTTGGCAGGATGCATGGTTGCATTTCGATTGCAAGAGAGGAAGCTACGAAGTTGGGAACGGTTATCGGAATTGATCTTAGGACTGCCTACTCCTGTGTTAGTGTGTACAGAAATGGTCATGTGGAGATCATAGCTAACGATCAGGGGAATCGGATCACTCCGTCATGGGTGGCTTTCACCGATACTGAAAGATTGATCGGCGAGGCTGCGAAGAATCAGGCAGCTCTGAACCCAGAAAGAACTATTTTTGACGAAGACGGTATGATATCTTCCTTTCATAGTGTTTGAATCCTTGTTCTGTTCTTGCATCCAAGTAACCTGCAGTTTGGCACCCATGCGCGACAGATTCGATGACCCCGAGGTAGAGAGGGATATCAAACTTCTTCCGTACATGATTGTGAACAAAGATGGGAAGCCCTACATTCAAGTCAAGATCAAGGATGGGGAGACCAAAGTTTTCAGTCCAGAAGAAATCAGTGCCATGATCCTGACTAAGATGAAGGAGACTGCTGAAGCATTTCTTGGGAAGAAAATTAAGGATGCTGTTGTCACAGTCGCAGGTAAAGTTCCACGTAATTCAACAAATTGATGTGCCGCCTTTTCTTCTTCTGCTTGGTATGTCTGAATTTGGCATTCTTGCTCTCACTATCTTCATTCTGTTCCAGCATATTTCAATGATGCTCAGAGGCAGGCAACAAAGGATGCCGGGACGATAGCTGGCTTGAATGTTGTTAGGATCATTAATGAGCCAACAGCTGCTGCAATCGCATATGGTCTCGATAAGAAGGGTGGAGAGAAGAACATCCTTGTTTTCGACCTTGGTGGTGGGACATTTGATGTCAGTATCTTGTCGATCGATAATGGAGTTTTTGAGGTTCTGGCAACAAATGGTGACACACATCTAGGAGGTAAACTCCTTAATCCTGTAGCATAATGTTTGTCTTGATCGAATGCAATATTTGAAGAGTGGCAATTGGTTATTATATGTAAAGATGGTCAGTTCTGCAGCAGAGAAGGGTTCTACGACAAAATGTCATGAGCTGCGGTGTTTCTGTATGGTATGTTCTTGATTCAGATTCACTTTTAGCGCAGGTGAGAACTTCGACGAGAGGATCATGGAGTATTTTATCAAGCTGATCAAGAAGAAGCACGGAAAGAACATCAGCAAGGACAACATAGCTCTTGGCAAGCTGAGGAGGGAATGTGAGCGTGCTAAGAGAGCACTGAGTAACCAGCACCAAGTTCGTGTGGAGATCGAGTCGCTCTATGATGGCTTGGACTTCCCAGACCATGGGGCCTGTGAAGAAGGCATTGGAAGATGCTGGACTGGAGAAGCACCAGATCGATGAAATTGTTCTTGTGGATGGGAGCACCAGGATTCCTAAGGTCCAACAGCTCCTCAAGGACTATTTTGATGGCAAGGAACCGAACAAGGGTGTGAATCCAGATGAGGCTGTTGCCTATGGTGCAGCCATCCAAGGAAGCATTCTAAGTGGAGACACCGATGAAAGAACCGGAGGTGATGATCATCTATCAGCCTTCTCACATAAACATTACTCTGCCTGCTTCCTGTACGCTTCTGATGTGATCGTGTTGCAGGCATACTTCTGCTGGATGTGGCACGCCTGACTCTTGGGATCGAGACTGCTGGTGGAGTCATGACAAAGCTGATTCCAAGAAACACTGTCATCCCTACAAAGAAATCTCAAGTTTTCACCACTTACCAGGATCAGCAGACCACTGTGTCAATTCGGGTACAAAACTGCAGCAGTATTTGAAGCATATTGTCATACTTCCTCAACACGTTGCTTGCATGAGTTTGATTGTTTGATGTAGGTCTTTGAAGGTGAAAGAAGCCTTACCAAGGATTGCAGGTTGCTCGGACAGTTCGATCTCACTGGAATTCCGCCAGCTCCAAGGTAAACTTGGTCCTTCTTTCTTCCATCAGAACGACATGATCTGCTGGAGTTGGTCGTCATCACAAGCTTTATCATTTTGTTGATGCTGAAATAGGGGCATCCTCAACGTTAAGGCAGAAGACAAGGGCACTGGCAAATCAGAGAAAATAACCATCACCAACGACAAAGGGCGGCTCAGCCAGGAAGAGATCGACCGAATGGTCAAAGAGGCCGAGGAGTTTGCGGAGGAAGACAACTAGGTGAAAGAGCAGATTGATGCCCGCAACCAGTTGGAAACGTACGTCTACAACATGAAGAATATCATCAATGACAAAGTCGGAGACAAGCTCAAAAGTGAGGAGAAGGAGAAGGTGCAGGAACCTCTCAAGGAGTGCCTCGAATGGCTCGACGACGATCAGAACGCTGAAAAGGAGGACTATGATGAGAAGATGAAGGAGGTGGAGGCTGTGTGCAATCCGATCATCTCTGCGGTTTATCAAAGGCCTGGTGGGGGTAGCTCGGACGATGATACGCATGCTGAGCTTTAGAATTTTGCTGCATGTGGAGGATAAATAGCTGTGTTCTTACGTAGTTTAAATCACAGATTGTACTGATGTAATCACAGATTGGTCGATGATAAGAGCAGATCAAGATATATCCAAAGACCACTTAAATTATCAATTGCATAATATTCTCACAACTCTCTCCTTTGTTATCAATTGTTCTCATGCAATGATCATAGTGACGCTACAGATTCAATATCTACCTTTAAAATATATATATATATATATATATATATATATAATTCATAATATTTTAATTACTATTAGATTATGTAAAAAAATTTATGATTAAAGAATATTGAATCTCATAATTAAAATATTTACAATTTAATAATTAAAGAAATAAATTAGTATCAAATCATCATCATATCAATTAGTATTAAATTAAAAAATAAATTAGTATCATAGCAAAGATATTCTTAATCAGCTTCAAATCAACTCATATCATGGGAGGTGATAGGAAATAAATTAGAATGAATTATTATATATACTTAATAGAATTAATTTTTTTAGTTGTACAAGTTATATTCATCTATATATGTTTTCCTTTATATACAAAAAATATAAATGAATGAAAAAAAAAATTCTCTTATGTTCATGGTATTAGAGTCTGATTTGAACTATTTTTCATTTTTTTCAGCTTTAATTATTGAAAATCTTTTCCTCTATTCTATCATTTTCCAACCATTTCTTCTTCCTTATTTATCTGTGAGAAAGTTATATATTGGAGGAAAAGGAATGATCGATCATTTGATCAAATCAAGAGGATGATCCTAAGTTTCAAGTATGGGATTTTGAAAATTTCATAATCATCTCATGATAAACTCTATAGAACTAGAAATTAGTAATATATATATGTTTTTACCAATAACAAAAAGAGTCAT